TCTAGTGGAGAACAATATGGAAAATATGATGAAGAAGAAGATGGTGAAGATGAAGAAGAAGAAGAAGATGGTGAAGATGAAGAAGAAGAAGAAGATGGTGAAGATGAAGAAGAAGAAGAAGATGGTGAAGATGAAGAAGATGCTGAAGATGCTGAAGAAGAAGAAGATGGTGAAGAAGAAGAAGGTGGTGAAGATAAAGAGGACGAATACGAACAACAGCAACAACAAACCAATAATGATGATGAACAATTTGACGAAATATTCATGGATGTAGACGAAGATCAACAGCAAAATTTACTCCATCAATTTTCTATTCAATACATGAAGAAAGCTGTTGATTTCTATGATGCAGTAAATGAGAAAACAGGCAAGAAACAACATTCCTGGAAATCGTTCCAACACCACTTTCACAAAGTAAAAAATCGATCGTATATAGGACGCTTCCGTACATATTTGGAAAATAACGGAACAAAACAACAAAAGCTTGATGAAATAGATCAGTATACATATAAAAAATTTGAAAAAGCACGTGGAGATTTTCTGATTGTACATGATACTGATTTGAAAAAATGGTCTTTGCAGAAAGCTAGAGAAATTCATGACACTACATTTAGAGCTAGTGATAATTGGGTTCTTAATTTCAAGCGTCGGCATACATTATGCAGCCGAAAAATAACAAAGCTTATAACAAAACGAGAAGTACTGGATGCGGATACTATAAGTAATTCTGCAAATAATTTCGTAAGTAAAGTTAAAAAACTTTTGCCACATTATCGACAAAGCAATGTTTTGAATACCGATCAAAGTGGTCTTGAGATCGAAATGGTGGGAAATCGCACTTTGTCATTCAAAGGTGAAAAAGCCACATTTGGAAAAGTTCGATCTGTATATAATACATCACATAGTTATACTGTTCAATTCATCATATCTTTAAGTGGTGAACCAACGGGCACATGCTACTTATGTTTGAAAGAGAAAGATGGACATATGTCTGATAATATAAAGAAGAATCTATTTCAAGCATTCAACGTAACTGCTACGTGTAGTAAATCAGGAAAGTTGTCATCATCTCTTGTAAAATACTGGATTCAAAAGGTGTTGAAACCAGCAGTTGGTAATGAAAAAGTCTTATTACTGTTAGATACTTGGGGGGGTCAAACTGATGAACAATTATACTCAAAAATGAAACATCTTCGACTTGAAATTATTCCGAAGAAAACAACTGCAATGGTTCAACCACTGGATATCACTTTTAATCGTCAATATAAACATCTGGTTCGTACAGTTTATGATCATGTGCGCCTTTATGATATTGATTGTAATCTTTCACAACGAGATAATATAATTAAATTAACTTCTTTATGTTATAACCAAATGTGTTCGAAGAAATTTACACCTATGCATCAATATAGCTGGTACAATGGTGGTTATCTTTCAAAAAGTCCAGGATCATTTCAAAATGTTGAAGAGTTGTGCTTTCGATTTCAGGACTATAGTTGCAATAAAAAACAATGCAATAACATTCCGTTAATACAGTGTAGCTTTTGTGAAAAAGTTTTATGCTTTTATCATTTTTTTGTATTGTATCATGTTCATTAAAACTGCAAGTTTTGTTTCTTCAAGTTCGTTTCTCTTGTACTCTTTTGTGACTTTGCTATTAATTCGAAAATAATAAAACTGTGAAATTCATTCAAATTAAGTTTCTCCATCTGAAAACGTTGTGATGCAGAGTAATCTATTCGAGAAAATGACTTAAATCAACGCTTCTGCTCTCTTAAAAAAGATTTTTATATCAGCTAGTAATGTTAAACCGATACTTATACTAAAGGGATGTGTTCATCTATAGTAAAAATGTCATATCTCTTGAACTAAATTTCATTAATTTATAACTAAAAAGAATTGTTCTTCATAAAACAGTAAAAACAAAGAAATGTCGATAATTTTTGAAGGCAGAGGATTGGGGAGAAATCCCTTTAGGGTTTTTACTACTTCAATATACTCGACTAAATGAGATATGAATGAATGAAAACGGGAGGTATCACCTCGGGTGGTTCCCTCGTCAGTTCCGAATTATTGCAGAAAAATGTTTCGGAAATCCGAACAAAATCGAGTTTCGAGAAAACAGTGTATACATTTGTAGACTCAAGTCTTCTCTTTTATTTAAAACACAAACGTTAGCTCTCTACCTCTTCGACAATCCGAAAAATCGGTACCTTACGAAGACCACCATATTGAGGACTAATTTGTCAAGAACTCGTTAAAACAAACATCTTATGAGTCGAAAAATTTGTAAGAAATTAAGTTGACACAACATATATATTTCCTGAAAATTTCAGCCAAATAAGTTCACGAATAACGAAAAGCGATTCTTGAGGGGGAAGCCTCTTAATAGTTTATCTTGAAGAATTATAAATATCTAAATCCAAATCAACAGTTAAAATCAAATCAATGACAATTCATGAATCATTAGCCAGGACAAATAGTTAAATATGTGCATATTCAACTATTTCAAAGTTCATATTGTTAATGGTTGTCCAAGTTTCTATGAAGAGAATGGAAAAACCAATAGTTTTTCGTACTTATGACTCATGTAGCAGATATCTTGTTTCCTCTGAAGTCTAATTTCACCTGTCTTTACAATTATATTAGATATATCAAAACATCGATAATTAGGTTTATATATACATACATAACTTAAATAAATTAAACTGCTGTTAGAAAACTAATCGTTCATATATTAAAATTATTCTAATTAAGAAAGATACTAATTTAAAACATCATTTTTCTGGATCGCGAATAAATATTAGTTGTTTACAAAACTATTTTTCTTAATCATTGTCCTTTCACGGAATATAAAACTGATATTATATAAAATATCAATGTTACCAATGCTTACTCTATACATCCATTTCATTGTACGCTTTGCATGCTATACAATGTCAATTTAGGTGAAGAACATGTCCAAATACAAGTCTAAATCTACACACCACCCTCGTACGCATCCACACCGACACCTATGATACTCCACCCGTACTCCGAATATGAAAAATTGTTTATACATTATTTTGCTTTCTATAACTATTGAATATTTATTGACATAGTGGAAATACAGAATCGAGAACAGTACAAGATTATTTCTAGTGATTCGTTATTGTTATTGGGTTTATTTGTTGGAAAATTAGACTGTATTGATACACATACACTTGCTTAAAGTCGAAACTATTAAATAAAGATGATAAATATACTACTAGTTCAAAGTCTTCGTATAAGTGACTAAGTAAGAATAACATTAATGAACTCTATAAATCAGAATGTGGATGTGGGATTTTCTCTTTTTGCCTTCACATAGCTTCAACAAGTTGATGTTTTGAATTGAAAATAATCATAGCTAAGAAAATAGTCAATTATTGTAGTATGACTTTAGATGATTAATTCAATAGTATAACTCTACAGTTTATAACGGTACATAATCGTTATGTCTTCACTAGGTGGTGCAACGCCAACACCAACACGATGTGGTTTTTGTTTAGGAACTGTTTTCATATCGACAAATTTTAACTCAAGATGTTGCAAAATAATAGCGACGCAAATTTTGATTTCATTTCTAATAAAGAATCGTCCAGGGCATATATTTTTACCATTACCAAAAGGCAGAAAAGAAGGCACAGAGTCAACACTTTTTTGAACGAATCGATCAAAGATAAATTTATCTGGATTTGGAAATATATCAGGATCACCATGAACTACGGCAGGAAACAATGCAATGGCATTATTCGGCTCCAAATGTAGAATGCGTCCATCTTTAAGAGATAAGTCAGTTTTTTCCTTACATTTTCTCATCACCATTGGTGTTGCTACTAAGCGCAATGTTTCGTTCACTGCACTGTCCAAATTAACACATGAAGCCAATCGATCAAGAGTCCATTGCTCAACTACCGCACTACCATCATCGTCATTGAGAGAAAATGCTGGCAAATACTGATTGATTTCTTGCCGAATACTTTCTACAGCTTTTGCGTCGCGTAAAATATAGAGTAAACACCAAAACACGGCTGGAATACTATTTCCCAAAGATCCCCATAACATAGCAGTTTGATTTCCACCATATTGTACATCTGAAAATGATTCTGGATGATCGAGAATAAAAATTGCTCGATCTCGAACAAAATCACTCTCACGTGGTGGATGCCGTTTTTTAAGCCATGAATTGTTCAAACGAGAACGAACTTGCAAGACGCGTCGGAAGAAAATTGAGTAGACCCATAATGGAAGAAGTGCAGTAAGATAATGAATTTTACTATCGAAAAGATCAAAATCATATTCAATTGAAAGTGGATCAACTTCTCCGAATAGAGCCAGAGTTGAAGGTTCGAAAAGCATTCTATGACTCAATGCCAATAAACCGGTTGATATCCATTCAGATAGAGTATTACTGCTTTTGATTGCTTGTCTTTCACGTATCATCAATGTGCGTAACCGTTTGGCAAACTCAATAACCATGGGCTCTAGACCTTCGCGGTTTTTCAAATACTGAATATATAGTCGATGCATTTGTGAATCGATTTGTGCACTTACTATAATTGACAAATAAATTATTCTTTTTCTTTATATTGATTCAAAATAGTATACGTACCAACCATGTCAGATCCTGTATCGAATACTTTCACCCCAAAATCTATTGCTGGAAAATATATCGATGGATTTCGAATGATCGTTGGCCAGTCCGAAGGCGAAAGAACAAATGTCATACGTTGTGTAAACAACTGAAGTGTGAAACAGTTGCCGTATCGTTGACGACATTCCATCAAGAACTTTCTTCGATCACCAAGAAAAGAAAATAGATGACCTACGATAGGATACTTTCCATGTACGACTAATGGAATTGATGTACCATTGTTTTCATTCCAGAATAGACGATACAGCAAGACAAAAACCATCACAAGCAGACAAAAGCTGCCTAATAACATGTCCATTGCTCCAGAGTTTGATAATGCAAAAAGCAGCATGAGAACAGTGATATTTCACAACTCAATAGGAAAAACTTGATTCTATGTAGTAAGTTCTACTGAAATTTTCTAGTAACACCATTGAAGAAGATTGTACAGAAAGAAAAATTAAAGAAAAACTAGAACATGGGTGTGGGTGTGTGGCTGTGACTGTGGGTGTCGGTGTGGGTGTTAATCTTTAATTCTTTAATATCAATACTCAGTGACATCCACATTCACACTCACACCTACTAGGCAACAGCGAGAGTGAGGGTGCTGCAAAGATCTCGCCGGTAGACAACAGTAAATGTGAGGGTGTTCAGAAGGCATCGACAGATAGCACCAAAGTGTTTCACCAGTTGCAAAATTCCAGAAAACTTTTTGGCAACACATTAGTTGATACGTATTTAAATTGAAGCATAAACAAACTATAAACAAATTTCACATTTCGAGGATGTTCCGCGAGATTCCGTCTAGTTTCTCTTCTACGCAATTCCGGAATTCAGTCGATGATGCGGACTGATATCCAAGCATAAACGAGCCACAACTAAATTCCGGAATTCCACCGAATTGAAAGAAATTCCCCAATTCCATGCCACAAATGGGTGCAGTAAACAGCAGTGATAGATAAATGTATAGCAGTGATATTGTAATTCCGGAACTATACGGAATTGGTAGGAATTCCGTCTAATTCCTTCTAATTCTGCTTGGAGCAAAATCCGAAATTCTGTGCCGGAATTCATTCATATGAATATCAGTGACAGATAGAAGTATACGAGTAATATTCTAATTCCGCTTCCAGCCAATTTCGGAATAAGAGGGAATTGGTAGGAATCTATTCTCCTGTCTGGCCGGAATTTCGGAATATGTAAGTATTACTAGGAATTAGGTCCCTAATGAATAGCCGGAAATCGGTTGAAGTTTCTAGGAACTGCTATTGGAATGGATTCCAGCTATTCCGGAATTAGATGGAATTGATTCCAGTGCGGAACTGATTTCCGAAATGTGCAACATCGCGGAATTGGATGTATTCTCACCGAAGTTTAAGTAAAATTTTCTGAAGAAAATCTTTTTCGTTAAAAGAAATTTAAATGAGTTTTAACTTGTCCAATTTTAACGATCAGTGTTGAATATGGTTAGCAGCTGGAATTAATCGAAAAACAAAATAACAAAAAATGAAGAATAAACCACACTGCACCACGTGAATACTCTTCAACTGACTGTGTACAGAATAAAAAATAAAATAAAATTTGCAAAAGAATGCGAATGGTAGAGTCAGCGATTTTTTTTTCTTTTCTCATCTCAAGTATATTTTTTCTCCAAGCTTTACCTTTACCTTTAACTAATGTGTACAATCTGCCCATGAGACAAGCCGATTGGTAATAGTCAAAAATGTCCTTTTAGAAGGTTTTCTGACAAGATGTCTCTGGATTTTTGTCTCCAAGAATTAATATTCTCAAATTTTGTATCATCTGGAAAATGTCCCTGATAAACTGCGAATAAAATTACTGAGGGTGTGGGTGTGGGTGTGGGTGTGGATGTGGGTGTGTGGGTGTGGGTGTGGGTATGGGTGTGGGTGTGGGTGTGGGTGTGTGAGGTGTGGGTGTGGGTGTGGATGTGAGTGAAGGGATGAAATTCACATTCACATCTACACCCACATCTACACCCACATCCACACCCACACCCACACCCCACACCCACACCCACACCCCACACCCACACCACACCCACACCCACACCCACACCCGAATTTCTATCGTCATCTTCAAGGTTCAGGTAATATATGTCTTGAGTTGAAAAAAAATGATAAATAATTCTCAATTACTATTACCATCAACAACAAATACTCAACAATCATTAACAACATCAAATAATGTACCTCAGCAAATCGCATCAGCAAATTTTATACCTATTACACCATCATCAGATACAATTCAATCAAATTCAACTTCATCGACAGCATCTTCTATCTCAACATCAACAGATAATGATGAACGCATTATACAACAATCATCATCATTACCAACTAGAAGACAAGTGAAAAGAAAAGTTCAAACAATAGAACCTTCATATAACACAAGAGAATCAACAAAAAGAACGGGAAGAAGTTAATCTGTATATGCTGAACATTTTCTTCTTCGATTACTTCTTTACTATTCTCTTGTATAGCTGGACTTTATATGAAATTGATGTTTTTAACTTAGTAATTCATTCATTGTTTTCTTGTATAGTTAATCTTTTCTATTAAGTATTGGGTATTTTTATTGTTATGCTCGTTTTTTTATTTTTTTACATTTTACAGTTGATTTTTAAGCAAATACATAAGATATTAATACTAACAAAAACATCTTTTTTTGAACCAACAGTTCTTGAATGATTCCTGTAACCTCTGCAAAAATTCAGGCGTTTTTTTACTGCCATCATATTTCTTCTTTATTTTCAATAGTCAATTGAGGAAATGGAAAGTACCATATTTTTATAATACTAAGGACTTCATACAAGAGTGAAGTCATATGGAGTCACGCGGAGTCAAGTGGAGTCAGGTGGAGTCAAGTGGAGTCAAGTGGAGTCAAGTGGAGTCAAGTGGAGTCATGGAGTCATGGAGTCAGCTGTTTCCCCCTTGGTGTGGGTTGTGGGTGTGGTATAATATAGAGATAATCCACATCCACACCCACACCCACGCCCACACCCTTGTGATCGAGCTGCGATGGCCGAGCGGTTAAGGCGTTTGAAATACATTTGAAGTGGGCAACAAAACAGCAGATGGGGTAACCCGCGTAGGTTCGAATCCTACTCGCAGCGTAATTTTTTTTCAATGAATTTCAATTTCTCTTCACATGACAATCATGGAATCAAACGTGAAGCACATGTTAAATATGAATTCGTGGTCGAGCTACGATGGTCGAGGGTGTGGATGTGAGTGTAGTTGTGGGCTTCAGTGATGATCTTCTATATTCTGTCGCATCTACAGCGACTACCACCCCAGAACCCACACCCGACACCTACAGCGACACTCGACACCCACAGCTACAGCTACCCACACCCTTTAATTGTCTTGCAATAGCTGAGTTGTTGATAAAATGTAAAATGAGTCAGCGATCGCGAACCTTTTTCTTTTTCCTACGAAATTAAAATAACAAGCTACTTTTGTGCTTGATGAGATAAAGAAAAGGAGTTGAATGTTTACTGCCAACGACCATGTGACTCTTGAATAATCAAAAAAGAACTTCTACAGTGGAGAATAGTTTTGCATTAGTCTTTTTTTTTCGTTGTTTTTCTGTTCTCGAATTCGAAATATAACAGCAACCATTTATACAGAAAAAAAGTAAAATATACGTGTGTGTGCTATAGTCAACTATGTAAGGTTATTTTTCTTCTTAGATTTATATATTTTAGTCGATTTAGAATGGCTACAAGTAACGAATTGCATCGATTTATACAAGTAGACTGGACAAATAGCAAGAAATTGCCCATCGACGGGTTAAAAACTAGCGGTAGCTACTTAAACATAATACAAGCTCTTCATACAGCAAGTAATCGCTTTCGTAATGTGGAAGCTTATGTAAAACAAGCTGAAGAGTATTTAAATGGTATCGAATTAGACGAACTTACTTTCGACGAACGTGTCGCTGTTTATGCGTATACCAGAGGAATCGGCAGAGACAGTGTGCATATACTACTGAATCAAGCATTGTGTACATCAGACAAAAAAGAAAGCGATCAATGGCTACCATTTCTTCGATTATTCTATTCCGCGGCTGCAAAATTGCCTAATTTCAAAGGAAAGTGTTGGCGAATTGGGAACAATGATATATTACAGCAAATAAAATCGAGGCACGATGTTATTTGGTCTGGTATAAGTTCTTGTTCAAAAGACTACAACTTCGTCTTGACACAGCTTCTTGACTCAAAAGGAATAGTTTTAGAGGTTAACACTAAGCGTGCCAAAAATATTTCTAAGTACTCGACTGATTATGATGCTAAAGAGGTGCTTCTGATGCCAGGTACTCATCTGGAAGTGACGAAAATTGAAAACCAGAAAAATGGTAGCCTAGTACGGGTCTTTTTACAAGAACTAGATACCTCAGAAAACGAAATGGGAGCATCTACTCAGTTGCCAACAGAAAGTCAAGATAAACCAGAGCCACCTCGTAAGTATCATTTTCTATTCCTAAATTAGATTTCAAAAACAATCAAATTGATCAAAATCTATTGCGTCACATTTGTTAACCACTTCCATGAATGCATCTTTTTTTCTCTATCCATATATATAGACAATCGATTCACATAAGGAGGAACTTTTGAAAACCTTTTACCATTAAAGACATTAAACCATCGTATTTGCTACTTTTATCCTTAATAGACCAACGTTTTTTTATTGAGTTGTGATCTCTTTTTGAAACTATTCGATTAGGTATGAACAAGATTTTCTATTGAACTTGGGCTTTGACGTAAATGTGAAAGAGGGTCTATGAGTATGCCGTTAAGCCGTCTGATTTTCTTGTAAACTTTCTAGGCAAACCGATTCTGAACAAGATACATTTTTCAAACGTAAAAATATCCGAATAAGAAACCAGTTGATAGATTTTTCAAGGATTTTATTCAACATGTCTAGCAAAGCTTCTAGCATACTCATTCAAAAGACTCAATACAATAAAAGCATACTCTGTGTAGAGTAGAACCAACGAGAGTTGGATTTATCAAAATACATAAATAAAATTGAAAATTAAAACAGCTATTGCCAACCTTAGTTCAAGACCACCAAACACCAATTGAAAACCGCACAATAGGAAACAAACTTATTCGACTTTTGCATCTAAAATAAAGAGTCTCTGTAAGTAATAGTCAGATGCAAAAGACTTCGTCATGTGGTTTTACAAAGTGAAGTGCGTGAACTGAACACAGAATACGAATCGATCTTATCATGTAATTATTGATATATTCGGTGATTTTATATAGCGAACCTAGCTCTATTTGACTGTTTGAATTCGAAAAAACAAGTTCAACAATGGAGTTATCTCTTAGATGCAGAGTCATAGTATTGAATGAATACTCATTGGCATGGGTGCGCATGTAGCTCAACTGTTCAGCCACATCCACACCCTCGATGCCAAAATAGAAGTAAGATCTCTCTCGTAGAGTTAGAAGACATAGTTGACAACAAGTACGAAGGAGGCGCGCAAGCTGCTTCGACAGTAGAGGCTTTATCATTCAGCAATCATCGTAGTAATTGCCGTTGTTTGTAATTTGAATAATTGCTATTGATACTCACCATTTTCTTTGCATGATGAATGAAAATTCAGCATTCGACAAACTACTTATCTAAAGCTGGAACACATAGATTTGGTATTCACAAACAAAATATATCTCCATGAATGTTGAAGACTAATCGGGCATTCCATCAGATTTCGTAGGCTTTAATCAAAAAAATAAATACGTTTGAAGGCTTTATTTATCGCATGGTTCTTAGAATTTTTTTACTTTCATAGGCCTCTGTTGATTCCATTGAGCGTGATATCATTAAAAGCATTTGCTTTCAACTTTAGGAGTATCATCAACGGATTCAAAACCGGATGTCGATCAAGCTTCTCATTCAACAGAACCTGCCGATAACAATAACGCTGCTAGATCTTCATCAAACCCAAAACATGATGCCGATTCAGCTTCTAATTCAAAGAAAACTACCGGAACTCATAACACCATCAAAACTTCGCCGAAATCAAATCATGATGATTATCAAAATGCAGCACGTGTAAATTCTGGTATGTTGATGCCTCTACCGAAATATTGCTAATGTTAGATTTTTGTCTGAATATCTCAATATCTGCTTGGTCTCAAATTCGTCCTCGATTAAGCTCATAAACATAGTAAATGAGAAGTTTTTATAATAACCATACAGAGGAGTATTGTATCCGAAAATCAAAAACGAAATGGATATATTTTCAGCATAGATTTTTACAAATTTCTATCAAGAAAACATAAACTTAATAGTTTTTATATTGTTCATAACATGAGTAATGCCTCAGTGGCGTCTGCATGTCGAATCCTTGTAAGAGATGGCTCGAAACTTTTGGGGTGAAATGTGCACTCTTTCTGAATTAACTAAAACATCATTTGAATCCTGAGTCTTAACAAATCATATGTATTCGTCTTTATTCAAATTTTTCCTCCGCGACAACTAAAATTTAAGCTCAGTATAGGGAGATTAGAAATGCATCAAATGACAAGTTTTATAGAACAGATAATGGTCTGACATTAGCAAACGCTCCAAATGTTAAATATTTTTTTCGGAATACTAACAACAAAGAAAAACATCGACAAATTTCTTGGAAAAATATGTTTAAAGACTTTCTAAAGATGTTCTCATCCTTCTAGGCCTAAATTTGACGTTTTTATAAATATATAGTCTAAAAGTTTTCAGTTCACTTAATAACATAAGTAGAGTTCTATTTGTTCATCGTCACAATATTTATGATCCTTATCATAGTATTTTGTGCTTGTAAAAACTATTGCATTTCTGATAACTTTCAGCGGCTCTTGAGACATTCCCATGAATATCTATGAAATACTGTCTAGTTGGATGCTAGTAGTTTCTTTGCCATCGGCTATTAAGCACGTAGTACCAAAGTGTGATATCTTTTTCAATTGAAAATAAAATAAAATACGATGAAGTTTTAAAAAAATTAACATAGATCACATTGGCAGTTCGATTATTCGGCTCACTGATGTCGACTGTGACAATAAGCAGTTAACACCAATCGAGGGCTATCAGAATAGTCCAATTATAACACTGGAAGAAGCTCTCAATCCCCTAAAAGACGTTATTTCTCGCTTGGATGAATACATACATCATGCTAAAAAATGCGCCAAAGTGGATGCTTCAAATATTCTTAATGTTGATGAATCAGCAGCCATATTTTTATACACTATGCATTCAGACGATACAAGTTTCAGTCGTATGTTTAATACAGCACTAAGATGTGAAGACCGAACTGATCTCAAAAGCTATTGGTTTAAATATCTCCAACTAATATGGTCAGCACTTAAAAAATTACCTTCTGTCAAAGGGCATGTTTATCAAGGTATAGCTACGCAAATTAAAGAGAAATATCCAAAGAAAAAAACTAATACTTGGTAGGGTATCACATCCTGCACACAAACACTAGACGATATTGTTCATCCGCTGTTGGGCAACAATTTAACCATATTAGACATTAAAATTCTCAATGGTAAAGATATATCGGAATATTCCTGTAATAGCAATGAAACCGAAATTGTTCTGTTACCGGGAACACGTCTACGTGTGACGAATATGTTATTTAATACTGAGTCTCATTTTGATGTGATTAATTTGGAAGAAATGAATGAAGAAACATCTCAATTAGATACCATTGGAAGCTTGAACATAGAGCGTATCTCAAAAGATATGTCTCTCGGTAAGTGTAGGACTTTCAGTTGAATGCGCTTATATGACTACTACATGAAGTCAATGACTCATTTGGCTAAAGAGAATGATCTTTTAGAGTTCTAAAATTAAAAAGCATCATAATATTTCATCAAATGAATTGCAATCAAAATCGGATTAATGACGTTAACTCATAAGCCTTTGGTTTGAGCCATTTCAATTTTTTCAAAAAGTTGTCAAGAAATTCATATTGTTTTACAGCGCTTTAGGTAATAAGTTTAATAAGATTTCGGATGCATTTGTAAGAGTGCGTACTGCTGAATGATAAATTTACTCGAATTCACATGGTATGCCTTATGATTTTAGCAAAATTTCAGGGAACTACGGTGCTAACTTTTTTTGGTCTCTATCTGAGTCTCGGTTAAAGTTTTTTATTATGCCTCGATCGTGATTAAACTTTTTCTTCGGTTCTAGTCCCGATCTTTTTTTTACCAATCTGTATGATTCTTTCAATGCATGTAAAATTTACATTGATAATTTTAAGGAGTTAGTAAGATCACCATATCTATATATACATCTATCAGAGCTTGGATAATACAAAGTCAATTTTTTGTTTTGAAAAATTTTCTTAGAGCTCACAATTCTTGCATAAATACAAAATCTAAATGAGTGACCTTCAATCTATGTTTGCTCAGAAATTACTTTGATAGTGTGAAAATTTAGAATCTGGAAAAATATGACTACTCTTGTTTATAAGGAATCTTTCACCTAATCACAGAATCGAAAAAGTCATTTTTTAGATCTGCACTTCTATCAAAATCATGAATAAAATACGATCGATTTGTCGATACTTCGTCAGAATAAAATAAATATGAAATATCTATATATATAATGTTCAGTGTCTGTCTGTCTGTCTGTGCCGGGTTAAAGGTCAAAGGTCAAAGGCTAAAGGTTAAAGGTTAGGAATTCAAGAATTTTCTAGAACGTTCAAAAATGATGTGTACTTCTATAAGTTTCCAGAATGTTCTAGAACTTTCTGGAATATTCGCGAAGGTTCCTAGGGTTGTGTGAGAAGTGGGCTTTGGGGTTAAAGGTCAAAGGTCAAAGATTAAAGGTGAAAGGTT